ACAACATTTGCACTGTCCATCAAAGCTAAAATCGTGATTCAATTTTTTAAACAGTTCTGATGCATGAGACGCGAATCAACAAGAATCAAAACTGGATGACAACTTGAAATGCAGCATATCAGAATACTTTTGCTACCTCTAACTCGTGAACTGTAGAGCAACGGTTTATCGATCCTTACAGAGAAGTACAATGAACCTCTGAAGATGGACCGAGCTTGGTCCGAAATGTCAGATGTCCCTAATCAAAATAAATAAATAAATAAATTATATATATTGCTGCTTGCAGGCTCGAACATGCCAAACAACGAATGATTCGTTTAAGACATAATTTCCCGGCGTAGTACACCATCCACTTGTTCCCAGTTGCCTCGTATGGTCTTGAAAATTTAGTCTTGGAGTTATCAGTTTATAATGATCATGCGATAACAGGTAAAGAATACCGGCACCTGAAACACCGTTGGTGATAAGCACGAGGCGGCTCTTGCCGACGTAATGACGTGAGGTGTATCTGGCACTGCAGGTTGTCAAATATAATGGCCGTGGCCTGTTTAAATATCCCCTAGGCAACTAGGAACAAAGAAGTGGTAAATACGCGTTAATCTGATTTTCGAGGAGTCATTCGTTTTTTTGACATACTCAAGTTTATGTTCAACAGTTATGATGAACAGCTTATGATGTTTGAGATAGAATGTGCAACCATATATAAAAATACCGCCAAGGTTCAATATATTGAATAATTGTAATAGTTACATAGTCGGAGGTTGCCCACTGTGGCGTGACTATTTAATCATCGATTGAGTTTTGTCTCTATAACGTTCAGCCATAAATATTACCATCAATATTTTCATGATTACTCTCTGAGACAACAGATTTTCTAGTCGATGTATTAATGATGAATGTTTTGTATGTTCACTTATTTGAACTTCAAGAGTCCCTGAATGTATTTCGAATTCATTGCAATTATGTTGATTTCAATTTCTGTGATAAGCATCTACACTGGTGATACTTTATGTTCTTATAAAATGCTGAAAATAAAGTGTGACCTGTCAATCAAAATAACAATAGAAATCATGGTTACGCTTTATGCTGATAGTCAGCTACCAGATGGATGCTGAGGCGAAATCCAGCTTCAAGTGCGCTTGCATCAGACAGCATTACCGTACCCCTCTCGACTCACGTATGACCAATCACACGAAAATGCCACGCTGTCCCTATTCCTTGCAAGTTCACCGACTTCCAACCGTTTCTTGGCTGGTTGAACCGAAGCAACCTGAGGATAATTTCTTACTCAATGGAATTCATGGTTAATGGATTGAAACCTTCAAAGCCAATCTCTTGTCACTGTGCCACCTAGCCCCAGCAATCAAGGTACTAGCAACTATCATCTAAAAGGCATCCTCTCCCTGCTTATTCCTAAACGTTCAGATTTCTTCAAATTAAACGTAACACTGAAACGTAATTAACATTGTACTTGTGTGTAAAGCATGCAAATGAGTACTCAGAAATAACGAGGCAATTCAATTCTTATCAGAATTCAACTCACTTCTTGCAGACTCCGTGTGGCAGGTATTTTATGATGTGAGCGTATCCCTGGGAGCGCCAGAATGGCATTTTCGTCTCCATGGATTTCATGTGCAACTGTTTCCGAACGGTCACTTCCAAATGACGAATCCAGTTGCAGCTTCCGTTCTGTGCCTTCACCGTGCAGATGTTCGCGCATGTCGGGCAATCGTCGGCTCCGCATGCCTTCTTGTCGATTTTCAGCGGACTAAACACGCATATTGAAATATGAGGTAATCAAGCACATTAAACCTTTTTTACAAGCATCCTTCTTTTCCTTGTCGTTTGTGGCAACGAACGCGGTAGCTGCAGAATCCACATTTGTCAGGAATCGATATTCCTTTCGGCACGGGAAGGTTGATCTGTAGTTCGTGGGCTCTACTTGGAACCTCGCAATGCATTTCGAGGTTTTTCGTCATGGCTGATATAGGGAACCACATGCAATCACTCCATTCGTTGGGCTGACTCCATCGCTCGCATTTTGGTGCTGAATCAATCATTACGTTACTGTGGATACAGATATAAACGGATCACAAACCCTGCATCAAACATATGTTTTAAATTATATTAAACAACACTTGAAATATAAACATTTCATCAACTATGCTCGGTTTGAATGAAACGGTAAATAGTGTTTAGCATGTTTCTGCCAAAATAGATGCCCTAAATTCGATGTGGTATTTTTCTGCCTAGATGAGACATCTACATGTTTTTGCCCACGTTTATCTTACATATTGTGTGTCAATTAAATACCATATCGGTTTAATACCTAACTTACATATCTATGCATTGCTAATTCTAATAAAAAATGGAGGAATAAGGCTCGAAACCATTAGCAATAGCGGAAGTATTGCGGCCGACGTGATTCGTCGCCGATTTCCGGTCGGCACAGGTGAACCGGTGAAGTCACTCGCCTTTCCTCTGGGCGAGGTTGATAAGTGCCACTCTATCGGAAAACAGCAAGAGATTACGCGCTACAGTTGTCACATAGCTGCTGTCGATTCTGTCTTTTAAAAGGAGTCATTCATGACTGATGTCATGGAAATGAAGATGCCAATGGTGTCAAAAATCGCGCTACCACGGACGCGTAAGAGAAACCGATATTTCAAAGGTGCAAAGTTTCCTCTTCTTCCTTTTCCAGGTTCCATTATTAACACAGTTCTTATTCGGCATACAGCCTCTTCTCTCTAAGTTTGAAGCCTCTATTACCTCTAGTTGCCTTCCATACAAATATACATA